AGAAAGTGTCCCTCAGAGAAAAGCTGAGATGAGGCACTCCAGGTGCGAAGGAGGCCAGTGTGTAGGGTAGAGCACACAAAGGGTCGCCAGAGGAGGTGAGGGGAGCCGAGGGGTGTGGTGGGGAGCTGTGCTGTAGCCAGCTCACTCAGCTGAAACAAGTTCCTCTCAAACCATGGTTAGCGGCTCCCACACGGTCCAGTTCTAAAGTATGTTATCACGGAGGTTAGTATTGTGGGGGCTCTTTGCAGGGCTTCCCTCTGAAGTCCTTTCCTCAAGGGTGTTAACACTTCCTACTTGCATCGTGTTGGATAGACTATCATCATATAGCCAACCTACCTGCAAAGGGAGGCAGGTAGGTGTTCATCAGAAGCCAGGTTCCCAGCTAAAATTTACACGGCTCTAGAGAAGGAGAATGAACATTGGTTCTTTGCCAGTCCTATGGAACTTCACAATCCAGGACTACTATCCCGTTATCAGCCACAGCTGACAGGCATCCATGGTCCTCCAGGTTTACCTTTGGTGCCTATCTCCTGTTTGGTGCCCAGATGCACAGGCTGGAGGTCTTTGGAGCGACAACTCCTGGTTATTCAAGTTCACACCTGGCACTAGTGTCACCGAAACGGGTTTCATGCAGCGCGTGAGTCCTTTTGGACTCTGCCAGCAAGCTTTTCAGACATGCTGGGCCTGCATCCAGACCAGAGCATTTGCCGGCCATTCTGCCCACTTATCAAGAGAAACTTCGTCAAGAGGCCAAGGGTTTAGGGTAGAAAGCAGCCACTGGGTGGATCCTTAAGGCGGCCTATGCCTGGAGGGCAGGATTATCCACCTGGGAGGAAAAGTGGCCACAGTCCCAAGGGTAGAAGAGTCCATGGTACAACCATGGACACTGAAAGGACATTCTTGACCACTAGGATAGTAATTTCCTCCAGAGCTGCCCTGACCATAGTGACCAGGCCAGAGGCCAGCCAAGGGATTACGTATCTGAAGTGGAAAAGCCATGCTGAACAGGGTAGTCAGACTAGAAGCTGCATTCCCTTCTAACCGCTGGAAACTGGAACCTAGAAAGAAAATGACTATGGGTGCTCAGAGTCCCAGCACTAACCACTCATTCTCCCGACCCTGTAGGAGCAGGCCATCCCTGCTACACCAGCTGTGCCCCTGTTGCTTCTGGGGGCTGCCCTGAAAGCGCCTCCTTTATTGACAACACCTAGCGAATCTGCAGCAATGTGTCAGACTTCACCAGCAAGGGACTGGGCCCACTAGTTCTCACCCATGCCAGGATCTACTCACCGCCACAGAAATTCTCTCTCGTTGGTTTTTATATACCGATATTTCCTGCTAGGGGCCATTAAAAAAAAAAAAATCCTCCAGTTTATATTGAGGTCAGGTCTGTGCATAGGGAAATACCAGGTGTTCCTTGCTTAGACCCATGATCAGAGATCCCAGTAAGGACAGTCTATGGGAGCCTCTGCCGATGACAAGACTCTTGTAGACAAGAGACACTGGAACATCTTCCAGTCCTATCTCCCTCTCCAGAGCATCCTCTTGAGATTTTGCTGACCTGGTATGGGTACCTGTATCCTCTCCTTTCTCAGTAGGACCAAAAGAGGAAGGTGGAGCTTATTCAGATTAATGAATTGCCTATTTACAAACCACCACTCAAAACAAAGCTGGGATAAACATTCCATTTAACCTTTTCCCCTCAAGTTTATAACCTGTAAGCAAGCTCAGCACCCGTGATCTAGAGAATGCAGAACACTCTTTTCTCCTCTATGTCATAGCAACTGGAAATTAAAAACAGAAGAGTGCCCAGGGTGTGACGGGGCAGAAACAGGCAAAAAAGAGGAAAAAAAAAAATAGAGAAAAGCCTGGAGATGCGGGGCAGAAAGAGCTGGTGGGAAGACCCTGTGGAACCCTCAACTCCAGGCTGCCCCCCGCAGGCTGAGCTTAGCAGTTACTGCCAGGGGCTTGGCCAGAATCTGACCCTGATCTGCTGGGGACAGAACCCAGGGCCTTGTGCATGTCTAGGCAAGCTTCAACCCTTGAGCCCCACCCACAGTCCTACAGCCTGTTCTTCCTCCATTTCCTTCCCCTTCAGACCCTCGAAGCTCAGTGTCCCAGCAAGGCCAGGGGGAGAGCTCCTCACACACAATGGGGCTGGGGGTGGTGCCCGGAGTGGGGAGTTCCTGGTTTAGAGGACAGGTATGGGTGGAGAGGCCATTTGTCCTCTTACCTCAGCAGTAGCCATGTGGGTTCTGAGCAAACAGCAGAAGGCCCTCAGGGTACCAGCATCCAACAAAGACTTCCAACCCCTACGGAACCCCCAACCTGCTCACCTGTCGCTGCCTCCACCTGACTTTCAGGCACTTCCAACTCAAAGCAAGTTTGCCATCGCTTTACGTCAGAAAACTTCAAGACTGCTTTTGGATTTTCCTACAACAGTGTAGGAAGCGGTAGAGAGGGGCTGGAGAGGTGGCTCAGCTCTACAGAGAACCCAAGTTTCATACCTAGCAGCCAGGTCAGACGGCTCACAACTGCCTGTAACTCCAGCTGATGCCTCTGACTTCTGCGGGGCACAGGGCAGGCACGCACACGCACGCACGCACGCACGCACGCACGCACAGATAAAGCTGAGCAAGCCTTCCCTGCCCCCACACAGCCCACCCCCAGGTGCCTACACTTAGCTCAAGGGCCTGAGAGCCGGGCAGATGAGGAAGCTAACACCTGCACCATGGCCCTTTCTCAGGTGTGCTGAGTGGGGAGCCTGCCCTCTCCAACCCTTCCTCCCCAGTGCCGTGGGGTCTGGTTTGTTCTGTCTCTGCTTGGGAGTGGTGGCTTAAGCCGCCACCCTGGTTCTCAAGAGAGAAATCTCATTCTGGCAACAGAACTCAAAGCGGCCGACTCCTTACTCCTGATGGAGGTGGGACTGACTGGGGTTCCCATCAGCTAGTCTTAGTCAGGGTGTCCCCTTGCTCTGAAGGGGCCCTTGGAGTGCTAGATGAGTGTGCTACTTCCAAGTCCTGGCAATTTTCAGTCAAGTATACTACCTTGAATAGAAGGCTTCTCAAATCCTGGACAAGATGCCCCATAAAATGTAGTGGGATGCTGCTAGTCATGTAGGGGCTGCTGAGTGTCCCCTAGAGATGAACATCAGGGAAAGACACAAAGACCATGCTGCAGAACCACAAAAGTACCGGTGCCAAAGATGTTCATCTGCTAACAGGAAGCTGGCTTGGGTATTATATAGGGCCCCTGGGTCCACCCCCTTTTACCTACTGGCCCTATTTAGAAACCCCACCCCCATGCCTTCCTGCCATTTCTCCTTGAAATATCTTCTGGGAACAAGAATCCCCCATCTCAGGGAGACTGTTTTCATTTTTCTTGTCTACTTATGTGTCTCCAACTCCCCCTCACAGCTAAGGTGAACCCCAAAGCATTATCTCCTTTGTACTGCTCTAGGAAAAGAACCTGGAAGCTGCACTCTGATGACCACAGGTCTTGAGCTCTAGGAGCTGGGCATGTGAATAGATTTCTGTCCGCTCCTCAAGCCTCAGTCCCAGGTCATCTGAAGTCCCCATGCCTGACCCATGGGGGCCACCTCCCAGCTGGTGCAGTTCCAAGGGCAAGTCACAGAACACTGGGGTCCACTGGGTTCCTGTGGGTTACCTCTCCTTGATGCTACATGTTCCAGGACAGTTAGAAAGGAAAAAGAGGCAAGGCAAAATGTCTGCTCTGCTTCCTTCTCACAGTGTTTCCTCGTCTTCAGAGATGTTCTCTCTGGAGTTTCTAGCACTTCCGCAGGAGTCAGCTCTTCCATGGGATGATGGTGGCCTGGGTGGGGACTGGGAAGGACAGTAGCCGCCATCTCAACACTCCCAAGGGGTCAGTCAGGTCTAGGCTACAAGATTTAGTCAGTGAGAAGCCAAGATAATTGGTTTGTTTTTGAGACAGAGTTCCATTGTGTAGCCCTGGCTGTCCTGAGACTCGCTCTGTAGACCAGGCTGGACTCAAACTCAAGAGATCCGACTGCCTCTGCCTCCCAAGTGCTGAGATCAAAGGTGTGTGCTACTAAGCCCAGCTCAAGATTATCTTGAGGGAGTCTGGTAAAAATAGGAAGAGGACTCTAGATCCCCAAGAGGAACTGAACTGTTAAGGCTGGGTTCCTACTCTGGCATCAGTCTGTCCCAAGTGTGCCCAGCTACCATATGACAGGCTCTGGGGTACATCCCTCCAGAGTTTACCTACATTGTTCTCAGAAGAGGCCTAGGATGCAGGCATTGCCTCCCCATCTTGTGGGTGAATAGAAGCTTGGAGAGGACCGACCCTTCTTCTAGGACACCTGTGATCACAGGTCCAGATGTCAGGTGTCACTCACTCCTCTAACGAACCTGCCTCTCCTCAGTGCTGGGATTTGCTGGTGACTTCTCAGCGGCACCCCTCACTTCTCTCCGAGCCCCCTGTATTCTGCTTTCCAGCCTGACCAGCCATGCAGGCCACACAGGACCCTGGACCAATGGGCTATGTCCTGAGATGTTCTGTCCACATTCTTGGGGTTCCTGGGCCAACAGCCCCAAAGTTGAGGACAAGGGGCTGCAATTCAAGTCCTGCTTGAACTAAGACATCTGTATGGTGCCTGGTTTCTTGGCTGCTGTTGGACCGCAGGAGAACGACCCTCTCTAGGCCTGCAGAGCATTCAGGATTGCCACAGGCATCACATGGAAAAGCCAGGGACAAAGAAGACTACGGCAGGATAGGTGTTCTGAAGAGAGCTCAGCTGGAGGGGCGTGCATGCGTGCGTGCGAAAGAAGTTACCTCACTCCTCATATTCCAGGCTTCTGTGGTGTACAGGGAGAGTCAGTTGGCACCTCTGATCAGTGAACAGGAGTTTCAGTCAGAGACCCTGGCATGCAGCTCACTTTTCCTGTCTGCCCGGTGCTCACAGACCCACTGAACACACCAAGGCAATCATTAGATTCCACATGTTCATTAGCATGCTCACTCCCAATGCCCACCCCCCAAAGCTGAATGCTGGAGGCCCACACAGGCTTCGCTGCCTCAGGTTCTGCAGGCTAGATGGTGCGGTGGCCCTTTGTGATGGAGGGTCATGTTGGTCCCTGATGGGAGGTGGAGGAGGAGGCAGATCTGGGGAACAAAAATGAGTAGAGGATGAGGTGTAGATGGTACCCCCTCCCCGCTTGACTCAGCCAGCCCGAGCAGAGACCCTCAGGGACTCAGAGAAGCACACAGCACCACTATCCCCTTCCTAAGGACTACCTTTTGGAGCATGTCCAGAAAGCTGGAGTCCTGGGAGGCCTTGGCCTGGAAAGCCTCCGTCAGCTTTACTTTCAAAGTCACCTTTGGCCCTGGGAACCCAAAAATGTGTCTCAGGACACTGTAGTCAGGGTCATGTTACCTCCCAGGGGGGCGTGTCCCACATTCCCACCAGACTCCCTTTCCTCCAGGGCTGTCCCATCTACTCTCAGATCAGGGACTCAGTACCAAGGACTCCCCTCCCTTCTCCCCCCTGTCCACCCTCCAGCCCTCACCTGTTGCACATGTGCTGCTGAGGAGGGTCAGAAGGAGGAAGAGGGGCCTCGAAGACCCCATTGTGGCTCCCTCACTTCTCTGATGGCAGGAGAGATGTGGAAGCGGCTTCTCTTGACCCTGGGCCCTCAGCACTGGTGTTGGGGGCACCAAGACATGGCAACTGGATTTTCCAGTTCTCTCAGAGTGGTTCCCATGACCCTGGAGAGGGCCACTCACTGGCTCCTGGGTAATGTGGAGGGTACCCCCCCCATTATTTGCTTCAGACCTCCGAGGAGAGAGAGGTGGGGACAAAGGGGGGGCCCTCCTGCAGGTGTCGGGCCCCACCTAAGCCTGGGTCCTTCAGTGGTTCGTGAAGAATTAATGATTAACTGCTCTTAGCTGTCATTCCTGCCAGAGAAGGGCTCTGGAATGTGAAAGGAGGGGTGGGTGAGGCCTCACTTCGTCATGGCCAAGAGGCGTCTTAACATCCCAGCCTCAGTGGATTTCCAGGTGGGAAATCTGGACAGAGGGGAGCTTCCAGCTTTGAGATTTTCTTTTTATTTTATGTGAGTGTTTTGCCTGCATGTATGCATGAGCACCACATGTGTGCAGTGCTCACAGAGGCCAGAAGAAGGTATCAGATCTCCTGGAACCAGAGCTACAGACGGCTCAGAGCTACCATATGGGTGCTGGGAATTGAACCCAGGTCCTTTGGAAGAGCAACAAGAGCTCTTGACCCCCGAGCCATCGCTCCAGTCCCTCTGCCGGACTTTCTATGTGGATGTTGGAGATAGGACGTAAGACCCCATGCTTGCATGGCAAACACTTTACCAATGAGCTGAATTGTAATTCTCAAATGGTACCGATGTGCGGTAGGCGCTGACCACCACCGCAACCTGGTGATGTGGGCACACACTTCACAGAGGTAGCTGAGCCGTGGGTGAAATGGGAGTGATAACCTCTACCTCAAGGAGGTACTGGGGTATCACATGAGTCATACATGTGAAGCACTAACAGTGCTGAGCAAACAGCTCTCCTGCTAATCACTGCTGCTCCTGCTCAGCAAAGAACACTGAGGACCTGGACTGTCACAGGAGGCATGAGCCAAGAGCTGGGTAGCTGGAGCCCGGGCCCCCGATCGGGACATCCTACCCATTTTTCATTTCACACAGACTTGCCAGTTCTGAGGGAGATGAGTTTGGGGTGCAGCTGTGACCCCTTACATTGCCACCATCAGGCTGCCAGCCAGCAATGCTCTTGAGGGGTGGGGCCGAAATGGCTGAGATCTTCTCCCTCTTTGGCCATTCCTATATCCTCTCCCAGTGTGGCTCCTTCCCAGGCTCCTGTGTCCCATTCACCCTCACTGGGACCCCTTTCAACAGACGGCTTCTTGGGGTTGGGGGCTTCCTGACCCACAGAGTAGTGGGAAGTGAACTGTCAGTCACGGAGTGGGCGGATGGGATTCTCACCCTGACACAGCCTCCACTCCCATGTTGCGGGAGGGGACTCAACTTTTCCAACCATGTTTTCCTCATGCACAGAAGGAAGGCTCAGGGCCCATTTTGCTGGTGTCCTGGCTCCCCAATCTCAGTGCTACCAACTCCACCACCTGGCCCTTGAGGCCCGGTTTGATACAGAAATTCCCAAAGGGAAGGGGAATACCACGGAAGTGGGGCCATTTGAAGATATGAGGAGCGGTGTGCACACAGGCGCGGGCAGCTGTTGGCCACAGAATCTCTGCACTGTGGGGACAGTTCTCTGCTCTGGCCCCAGGGTTTGCATTTGGCTCTTTTTATCTATACCCCAGACTGTCCTGGGGTGAGCAGAGGAAGACTTGGAAAATCCCTGCAATCCTTAAGGACCACCTCCCGCATCTCTCACCTTCAGCAGCAAAGGTCGATGCCGCGGCAATGCAGCCAGGACAGTTGCCCCGGCAGCAGCTGAAGCGGTGGTGGTGGCGGCGGGCCTCGTGGGGAGATGTTGACCCAGATGACATGTCTCAGGTTATTCAGGCAGCAGCTGCAGCCCTGCCTGGCATCACAGGGACGGATCCCAAACTCCTTCGACCCCCGTCTCTGACCTCGTACGACGACTTGGGTGCAACCTTAGCAGTGGCTATTATTATCGACCAAGAGGGAGACAATGGTCATTCTTTCTGGCCCAGCCAGCTCAGCGAGCTGCAACAGACAAAACAAAACTATATGAATCAGAAAAAGAAACAAAAAACAGGAGTTGGGCATTTAGCTCAGCCGTAGAGTGCTTTGCCCAGCAAATATGAGGCTCGGCCCTGGGTTCAGTCTGCAACACGAGGCAGTGGGGCAGGGGGATGATGACGCATGATCAGAAGATGCCCTTGGCTAGGGCAGGACCATCTCTATCCTGTCATAGAGTGTATCCTTTAGATCCTTTACCCCCACCCCTTCTTCCCATCCAAATCCCTTCTTCCCCAGATGTCAGACAAGCTCTTTAGCCCACGACACTCTCCCACTGAGGGAGACCCTTCCCTTTGCTGGGCACTGACCACCCAGGTCCCCCCACCCAACTTTCAAGGCGGGTGGGGATGCCCTACCTTCTCTGTGATGCCCCTTGGACCACTCCAGAAGGGTAATGACCACAGTCTCCCTCCACTGGTCTCCCAGGTACTGTGGGCTTTGAGGCTAAACAGACCCTGATCAAGGTCTGGTCTCTGCTACTCCCCAGGTCTCTGCTGCTCCCCAGGTCTCTTCTGTTCACCAGGTGCAGCTTGGGTACCTCAGTTCCTGGTACCAGGCTCTTTTGCCCTCATCTGGAAAAAACAGGATGGCATTGCTGACCTCTTCAGTTTTCACAGGTGAGATGTTTAACATGCCCAGAGATGCTCGGCCACCATGTGACCGGCTCCTCTGTGTCCAACTCAGACAAAGTTACTTCTTGTGACTGTAAGATGTCATCTTGGGCCAGGCATGGTAGTTTCTTCCTGTAACCTGAGCACCCAAGCGGCAGAGGTAAAAGGATAGCCACCATCTGGGGGCTAACCGGGTCTTCATAATGAGTTCCAGGTCAACCAAGACAAGATACCATGACCTTGTCTCAAAAAAACAAAACAATTTAATAGCCAGGCATGATGGTCCATGCCTGTAATCCTAGCACATGGGAGGTGGAAGAGGAAAGATCATGAGTTCAAGGTCATCCTCAACTACATAGCAAATTACAGGACACCTTGTCTTAAAGCAAAATACACACATACACACACACACACACACACACACACACACACACACACACACAGAGAGAGAGAGAGAGAGAGAGAGAGAGAGAGAGAGAGAGAGAGAGAGAGAGAGAATATTAAGCCAAGTAAAACAAAAAAAAATTTTTTAATTGAGAGTATAGGGCTGGGAAGGTTGAGAACACTGGTTGCTCTCCCGAAGGACTAGGGTTCAATTCCCAGCACCCACATGATGGCTCACAACTGTCTGTAACTCCAGTTCCAGGGGCTCCAACTCTCTATTCTGGCCCCCATGGGCACTGCACACAAGTGGTTCACAGACGCACATGCGGGCAAAGCACCCATGCACGTATAATAAAACAAACTTAAAGAATGGCGGGTGATGAATTACTTAAAAAACCGAGAGGCTCTTTATGCCAAGTTCCTCTTCTCTAGACACCTGGATCTTCTGTGAGTTGTGACCAAAGGTGGGCGGAGGATGTTTGTTCACAAGCAGGCGGTTGAAGCTTATTCCAAAACAAATCCTTACCCTTGGCACTGTTGACACATCAGGCTGGATGGTTCTTCAATCTGGAAGGTGTTTCAAGACATACAAATGGCCAGCAGCATCTCTAGCCTCCTCCTGCTAGATACCAGCAGCATGCATCGCACTCTATGACAAGGATAGGTACTGGAATTGTCACATACCCCCGCTGCGGGCGGCAAAATGGGCCCTTCCCACAGGGAACCAGCGTTTGGGGTTCGGGACCCAGAGGAAGGCTGGTATAGAAGACTGTGGGGAAGGAGGTTGTCAGCTGCTCTCGAGTCCAGATGGAGCCACAAGGAAAGGCCCGTCTCTGCCTCAGTTTCTTTATCCTGCAGGCTGTACTGTTCTGAGCCGTCAGTCTTAGTCACAACTACAGAGGCTCATTAATCTCCCATTAATTGAGCTGATGGGCAGTTGGCCGCCTCTCCTCCTCTTTCCTTCTTGTCTAGCCCTGCCTAAGGGCGTAGGCACTGGTCATGCCAAACCACTAGTCCCCATGAGCCCCAGCTGCCCCAGCTCCAGGCCTCCTACCCTGAGGATCTCAGCTCTCTCCATCCCCTCTGCCGCCCTGTTCCCTCAGGGAGCCACAGCCTCGCTTCCAACCCACCAGGGGACTCACATTTCTTGGGGGGGGCTGGGTTATGAGCCCACAGCCTGGCGCATGTTAGGCAAGCACTCTCCACTGAGCCACATGCCCGACACTGGCAAAGGACTGATGATGACTGTCTCCTGCATGTTGGGCACTGTCCCAGAGACGAGGGCTATGGATGTGGTGGGGACACAAACATTGCCCCAGGATGCCCGCAGTGTAGGGGGCCTTCACATAAACCAGCTTTAGGGAGGGGTAGGGGCTCCTCTCCCCAAGAGCTCCAGTGGAGCTGATCTCAAAGCTAATGCTTGCTTTAGGTAAGGAATGAGTGAAGCCTCAGGCGCAGGGTTCAGAGGGGATGTGGAGGTGATTTCTCATCAAGTCCCACAACTGAGACCTTTCATTGAGGGGAAAGTGGGGGTGGTGGAACTTCCGGAAATAGGAGGCGCACATTTCTGAGCAGGGGTAGGGAAAGCTGCGGGACTGGGGTGGTAGGGGAGGGATGGGAAGGACAGGTGTCCCCCTTGGCTGGACAACCCTGCCTATCTTGTCCCTGTCCCTGCCTCAGCTATTCCCACAGCCTGTCCTATCACCTTACAAATCTGAAAGCAGCGGTCTGTGCGCAGTGGCCGTCCATGTGAGGGTGCCCCTTCTCTGCTCTTTCACCTGGGTCTTGGGGACACTCCACCCAGGGCAGAAAGTGTGGCCATGTGTGAGTACGGGGTGTGGAGCTGGATGACGCCAGAGACACAGGAGGGTGAGTGTGTGCCTCCTCCCAGAGCCTGGACCTGTCCAGAGCCCTGTCCAATCCTTCTAGAACATGAGCATTGGCTCAGAGCCTGCAGCCACCCCTTACAAGTCATTCCTTCTGCAGGGGCTGGATAAGGAGGCAGGTTGGCTACCCCACCCAGATCCTTTCCCTGTCCCCAGATCCCACCCCTTTGGTGGGACCCAGGTACCTAGCTCCATGACACAGCTGCGGTCTCCCATTATCAGGGCACCCCTGTGGGTGGGGCAGCTCCATTTACTCAAGGCTTAGTTCAGAGTAGCCCCAGCCTCCATGACGTCAAACCTGATCCCTTATAAGATGAAGGGACCCCGGCCCATCGTCCCTCAGCGGCCTCCCAGCTCTGACATGGCTCAGCTGACCAGCGGCTTCTGCTCCATGTTTGGCTTCCTCTGCTGCCTCTTCTTCCTTCCAGCTTCTTGGAAGGCAGGTAAGATGCTCAGAGAGGGAAAGGGGTCACCAGGAAATGGGGGGGCAGAAATCATGAAGGTCCTATTTCTCATATTGATGGGGCTGGATGACCAGTCACAGAAATGAATGAAGGTGTGTGGCATGGATGGCCAGGAAGGGTTGCCTAGTGTGTTCATGACGTGCAGGAGAGGAATCTTGATTCTGCTCCATTTCTTTTGAGACAGTCTGAGGGGCTGCTACACCTGCCCAGAGCTTCATGCTTACATAAAGACATGGTGTGGATTTTAGTTCTAGGGGAACAGGGGAGGAAGCTGGCAATTACTGAGCATTTACTTCATGTAAGGAACCCACGGATGCTCATGGTACTTCATCTCCCCCTATCTCCTTAATATCCCCCAGAGGGTCAGTGATATCCATCTTCCAGTGGAGGAGTCTTACAGCTGGGGGTGGGGGACGTTTGTGAGGCAAGAGCACAGAGTGGGCTCCGGAAGGTTCTGTGCAGACCTGGCTGCTCCACTTGACTCAGCCATTTAGCTCAGCTGCCAATGGTACAGCAGGAAGGATGCTGGCAGCCTGTGCCAGCGGCTGGGGTACAGCCTACTCTGCACCAGGCTCCGCCCATATTTATTCATTTAACCCTCGTGGCAGCCCAGTGAGGTTCTGTCCCCATTTGAGAGGTGGAAAACATCCCAAGGCTTGGAGAAGGACGTCTGCCTCGTACAAGAGATGCTAGGGGCGGAGGTGGCATCGCTAGGTCGGTTCAGTTAGTTAACGGAGGTGCTGGGACAGGGGATAGAGATGCCAACTGCAGGGGCACTTTGAGGGGCCTGAGCATCTACAGGAGGGTCTTTATCATGTAGACAAAAGTGCAGAGCTCCCACATCCCTAACAGATATGAGACCCCAGACCGGAGATCTCGGGGTGGGTACTTCTGGGGCATAGCAAGCAGCATCTTCTTCCATAGGCCCAACTAGGGCAAAACTGGGGGGGGGGGCTCCTGCCCTGAACTCAGGGTCTTGCTGGGGTCCCATGGCAGCGGTGGGAGCTGAGACTCTTTCAGCGCCTCTGATAGACTTCTACAGTGTGCTCTGTGGGCTTCCTGAGCTGATGTCCATGTTCCTACCCAGAGGGTCCTGCGGCAGAGCACTAGAGCTGGCCCCAGCTTCCCTGTCTGTGAGGGTACCTACCTGCCTTTCTTCCACCTGGTGTCAAGCTGCTGCACAAACAGAACAAACCAGCAGGGGGCGCAGGGGGCAAGCTCACTACAGTCACCTGGAGATCTGCATCAGGACAGACAGGGTGCGGCAGTAGTGATGGGTGTGGTCAGGGAGGGCCCTGGGAGCTTGGCAGGGCAGGATGCCGAGAGAGGCTGGAGGGTATACAGCACATCAGAGTGGGACGGTGACAAGTGGCGGGGATGGAGGCTGGGCCAGGGCTGGGCACAACAGAGAAGTCAGGGGAGAGAGAGATCACTCGGGGTGAGTGAAGCCTCCTAGACTGTTCTGGTGTGGCCCAGCATCTGCCCACAGGACCTGTTGGTCCCCAGACTCAGGTAGGGCACAGAACTCCAGAGCCTGCCTGAGGAAGAAATACAGGGCAGCACCCAGATTAAATCACAGCAGGGAAGCTCAGGCAGGGGTGAGGGAACAGGGGCTGGGGATGTAGTTACAGCTCTTACCAAGCATGCTCAAAGCCCTGCGTAAGGATCCAGCACTGCACAGCTGTTAGGATTACAGCTAGGGAGGTAGATGCAGGAGGATCAAAAGTTCAAGGCCATCCTGGTTTACCTAGCAACTTCAAGTCCAGCCTGGACTATGTGAGAACTTGCCGCAAAATAAACAACTTAAAAAATTTGATACCCACCCCAGACTAGATGGCCAGACATTTTCTTTCTGTGTGTTCATCTTGGGAAGTCACCTAACACAGCAGATGTCTCTCCCGGGTCTTCCAACCTTTGGAAGTCACAAATTAAATCTACAGACGTATTTCTTAACGTGCACAGTGGAAGGCAGTGAGTATTCTAAAGTCTTTTCAACAGTTTCCTCTGACAATTCAGTAAGTTTTTACGATGTTGCCTGTTATGGGAAACGACTATTCTGAGGCCCATATCTGTCCACTGCTGGGGTGTTTCCCTTCACACCCTGTCCCTAAACAGAACCCCTCCCAGAATCCAGCTGCCTTGCTCACCACTGTCAGGACCTCCAGGAGAAACCATTTTCTGTCAAAAGAATCACCCTCATCTATTCCCAGACATGTGTGCAAAGAGCAGGGCCCAGTGTGGGTACAAGGGCTGAACTACTGCATCCGCCTCCCTCCACTCAGCCCAAACTTCATCACCAGAATTGGTGATTGTTTCCTCTCCAATTCTCTTCCATCTTACCTTCCTCTCACAACCTTTATACCTGGAAAGCTCTGCCAGAAGTTTGCCTCAGTTTCTCCCATTGTCACATTTGGAATGGAACTGGGATGTTACCGAAAGATTCTGATATGGATTCCTTTTCCTCTCAGCTCTTCCATGCAAAGGGAGTTCTAGGAAGGTGTGGTAGGAAGTGGATGTTGACAGGCACACAAGCAAGCGAAAGGTAACTGGAGGAGCCAACGACGACGGTTTTGACTGAGAATGGGTCAGCCCGTGGGAGGACCACAAGAGTCCAAACAATGCCCATGGGGTATGAGGGAGAGACCATATCAACCAATGAGAGACAACTAGGTCTAAAGAGGAACCAGGAGAGATGCTAGAAGGCAGAGAGGAAAGTTGAGGAATGGATTTGCTGAAGGTACAGTCTGAGCCAAAGTTCAGTAGCTAGAGGTGAGAACGGGATCCACAGTGTGGTATTGTAATGAACCTTCCTGAGGAGACAGCTGTGCACCCCAAGGATGCCTAGTACAGAGGCAGGCAAGATTTCAGGGAAGTTTCTTATCTGTCTCTCTCTCCACAGGTGCTAACACATTTCACGAACTTCAGAAGACTGGTGAAGCTTCAACACCTGATCATTTACTCACCCTTACTCCAGGCCTTACTCACGGGGCTCCTTCTGCCCACACTGATCTGGACCCAGGACAACGACCTCCAGACCTGCCCAAGTCTACAGCAACCCAGAAGCCCAAAAATCAGTGCAACAAAGTACGCCTTGCCAAACCAGTTCATAAACCTCTAGACAACTCCAAAGCCATTGACTACCAAAACACCACTGTTCATCATGAAATGACTCCTGCTTTGGAAAAGAACTCCAGCAACCAAAGCAAAGACCCAATGATCCGGAATGGACGCTCAGCTGATGACCCCAAATCCACTAACACAGAGAAAGGATCAGAGGGACGTCATTCAACCTCAGCACCCAGGAGGAGAACGACGTGTAAGTCTACAACAAGCAAAGCCAGAATAACGAGGAACTCGGGTACACCATCCAGACCTGCGGACACCAGCGCTAGGCTAAGGACCACCTCACATAAACCCACAACTCCTTCCCATGACTCAGAGCTCCACAGAGAAACCACATCTTCCTCAGTAAAATCCTCAGAAGCCCCAAGGACCTCATACAGGACTCCAAGGACCCCAGCAACACCAGGAGAGGAAGGTCACAGGACTCCATTTGCCTCAGACAAGCCTGTCCAAGTGACTACAGAACATACAGAACACATCAAAGAGACCACATCGGCCAGTGAGAGGACCACAAGATCCCAAGAGACTCCGGCAGAGCATGAAGGAGAGAATATATCAACTAATGAGAGGACCACAAGACCCCAAGCAACACTCACTCAGTATGAAAGAGAGACCCTATCAGCCAATGAGAGGACCACAAGACCCCAAGCAACACCCACTCAGTATGAAAGAGAGACCCTATCAACCAATGAGAGGACCACAAGATCCCAAGCAACACCCACTCAGTATGAAAGAGAGACCCTATCAGCCAATGAGAGGACCACAAGACCCCAAGCAACACCCACTCAGTATGAAAGAGAGACCCTATCAGCCAATGAGAGGACCACAAGACCCCAAGCAACACCCACTCAGTATGAAAGAGAGACCCTATCAGCCAATGAGAGGACCACAAGACCCCAAGCAACACCCACTCAGTATGAAAGAGAGACCTTATCAACCAATGAGAGGACCACAAGATCCCAAGCAACACCCACTCAGTATGAAAGAGAGACCCTATCAGCCAATGAGAGGACCACAAGACCCCAAGCAACACCCACTCAGTATGAAAGAGAGACCCTATCAACCAATGAGAGGACCACAAGATCTCAAGCAACACCCACTCAGTATGAAAGAGAGACCCTATCAGCCAATGAGAGGACCACAAGACCCCAAGCAACACCCACTCAGTATGAAAGAGAGACCCTATCAGCCAATGAGAGGACCACAAGACCCCAAGCAACACCCACTCAGTATGAAAGAGAGACCTTATCAACCAATGAGAGGACCACAAGATCCCAAGCAACACCCACTCAGTATGAAAGAGAGACCAGATCAGCCAATGAGAGGACCACAAGATCCCAAGCAACACCCACTCAGTATGAAAGAGAGACCACATCAGCCAATGAGAGGACCCCAAGACCCCAAGCAACACCCACTCAGTATGAAAGAGAGACTCTATCAAACAATGAGAGGACCTCAAGACCCCAAGCAACACCCACTCAGTATGAAAGAGAGACCACATCAGCCAATGAGAGGACCACACAATCTCAAGTGATGCTTACAGACTATGAAAGAGAGAGTGTATCGGCCAATAAGGAAACCACAAGATCCCAAGCAACACCCACTCAATATGAAAGAGAGACTATATCAGCCAATGAGAGGACCTCAAGCCCTCAAGTGATGCCTATAGAACATGATACCACATCGGCCAATGAAAAGACAACACAAGTCTCAGTAGAGTCTACAGAACACCCAGAAGAGGCCACATCAACCACCCAGAAAGCCACAAAAGTCTCAGAAAGTCCCACAGTATTCTGGAGGAAAACCACACTGGCCACTAAGACTATAAAAACTACAGGAAACTCAGAGAAAACAGTGGCAGTTTTAGTGTCCACGGGACCTCCAGTCAAGGCCACAGAAGACAAGTCCACTGCTCTCTCTTCCCATTTCCATAAAACTGAGACCACACATCAGGGACTCATTGACTCTGTGACAACTAGAACGGACCTGGGACTCATCACTTCAGAAGCTCATCACCTCCAGCAGAACAGCCACAGCTCACCTGGAGACCTCCACGCTGCTGGGGCGAGGCAGGAGAGCAATTCATTCCCTGCGTGGGCCATAGTTGTTGTGATCCTCCTGGCCGTGATTGTCCTGCTGATTTCTGTTGGCCTGATCTGTTTGGTAAGAGCAATGGGGTTGGGGTTGGGGGGACAGAGAGAGAGGTTGAGGAGAGATTAGGGGCCAGAGTTAGAAAAATGAGCTGGAGTGGAATGTGAAAACAGGAGAAAAACCACGAATCCGTGAGACGTGAACAGTTGGAAGAGAAGGCTGTGGCCGAGATGAAAGTGGTGTGTGAGAGAAAATTTGGGAGTTGGTTGTAGTCTTGGGTGTGAAGGTGGGGATATAAGGACAAGGTGGATAGGGCAGAGGGGGGTGTGGGTGAAATCTGGGACTCTGTATTGGATCCAGGTCTGGAATATGGGCCAAGACTTGGATAGAATCTTGGACAAGCAAAAGGTACAGGAACAGAGAGAAAAGCTCCAAGGGTGGTTGACTGCCGGTGATCTTACTCCTTCCTCTGTGGTCTCAGGTTGCCTGCGCATCGAGAACACGCCGTGTGCTGGCCCAGAACTCAGAGGATGCTGACTTTGAGGACGGAGCGGGCCGCAATTCCTACCCCGTCTACCTGATGGAGCAGCAGAATCTGAAACCAAACCAGATCCCTTCCCCTCCATGATCTTGACACCTGCATCCCCAGCTCTTCCAGGCTTCGCCCCTTTCCTGGAAGATGAATTAGACTCATGACTCCAACTTCCTGGACTTAGAAAGGGCAGCAAAAACTGAGAGATTGGAGCTGTAAGCCCTATCGGCCACGTTGTTAACTGACTAGTTGACGAGCAAGGTGGTAAGGGTGACAGTGTGCACTGGGAGGAAAGAGAAGAATGAATAATGCAAGTGCTCTCCGTAGAAAGTGGTGGTGTGAGAATAAGGCATTTTATGGACAGGGGCAGGACCAGTACAAGACTGCGGATTCTGAGAGAGGCACCTCAGAAGATAACACCCCAAGAGTGAAATAAGACCCTGGGGGGCAGGAGGAATGGAGGCAAGCATCTCAGATTTCAAAACTGATTTATAGGGCCTGGAGAGATGGCTTAGTGATTGGGAGTACTGGCTGTTCTTCCAGAGGACCTGGGTTCAAGCCCTAGCACCCACATGGCAGCTGACAACGGTCTGTAATGCCTGTTCCAGGGGATCTGACACCCTCACACAGACATACATGCAGGCAGAACACCAATGTACATAAAAACAAATAAATTATTTTTTAAAAACTGATTTATAGTAATTCTGTCCACCCCTACTTAAGGTGCACACACTTTTGAATTTCCAGGATACTAGATCTTATTTTTTTTAATTGAAAAAGGGCTCAAGAATAAAGGAAGATTGAAGTGTTTTCTTTCCCATTCTCTCCAATGCCTGGAGACACACACACACACCCCAACCCTGCAAAAGAAACTCCTCCACAAAACTCCTCCATCCCGTGGCTCTCCCCTCTTCCTTGTGAGTCCCTTGGTTATTCTGATGTCTGTGGTGGATTTTCTGTTTGTGGGTGGTACACACAGAGGGGCTTATGCTTGCCTGCAGTCTTACCCACGTCCTCATCAGCAGCCTTCCCTGGTGGTGCACCCACTCAGCAACTGTATTCCTGCATCTTTCACCACGCGTCGGTGCCAGGTTCTTCTCGCCGTCACCGTCTTCTCCCCGGCGCGTCCCTCTCACTCTCCCACCATGCTCTGATACCCGTCTTTTACCAAGTTAATGTCCGTGTGCTTTGGGTTTTTCTTTCCAATTTATCCCGTCCTTTTACCTGGTACTGATGGGGCGGGGGGGTAGTAGACAGAGGACAGGTGCCCTCCGCTGGGTTTCTGTAATAAAGAGTAATGCATTTGTAAGGTACAGACTCCAGACTGTGGAATCTCAGGTGGAAGAACTGACTCGTGTCCCTGGAGTCCCATGTCCTTATGGGTGACCCTGGGCAGGAGAGGTTGGAGTGAGAACAGGAATTCTTTGAAGGGCCAGAGAGAGGAGACAGAATTTCTATTGTTTCTAAAATGGCCATTTCTGGGTTCAGGTAAAAGCTCAGTCCAACTCATTGTGGATTTATCTACCTGTGACAAAGTGAGGGGGGTGAGGAATTCAGTATTGATAAGAAAGGTTTTATTTTTTTAACGATTTTGTGTGTGTGTGTGTGTGTGTGTGTGTGTGTGTGTGTGTGTGTGTGCACATTGCAGTTGCGCACAGAGACCAGAAGAGGGCATCAGATTCTCCTGGTGATGGAGTTACAGGTGGCTGTGAACCACCCAGCGTGGGTGTTGGGAACCAAACTCAGGTCTCTGAAAGAGCAGTGCTTGCTCTTAACAGTTGAGCCGTCTCTGCAGCCCCATAAGCAGCATTTCTAAATATCCTTCATAGGTAGTCTGTTAATATAAAGACATATATGACAAGGTTCCGCCTGAGACAAAAATGAAGGAACACTAAAAGACTTCCACAAGAGTCATCACAGGAAGTGCTGTGCAGATTAAATAACCCGGGTAATTAAACCAATATTTATAAGCAGCATGTCTCTCTGTTAAGATGCCAAAACCGTCCCACAGAACCTGCCCATCACCCACATAGCCTTGATGTCCACTGACCATGGAGAAGGGTGGCTGACAAGGCATTCAGTGTGCCACAGGCCGTCCAGCCAGACTCCAACCTTAACCAGGCAGCAGGGTCGAAGGTCACTATTTGCTACTTTTCTTCTCCCCATTTCTAGATATTAGGAAGTCCCTCAAGGTCAGTAATCCTGGCCCTAATGTGGATGATCCTGAACTATCTGGGTTGCTTCTGGATGGACAATCTCTCTGGATGTCCCATCAGGGGACAGGCTCTGCTAGGGGCAGATGGCAGCTGGGCTTCAGAAAAAGTGTACCTCAGAGGCCAGAGGAACCCCAGACTCAGGTCCCTGGTGAAGCCTATGGCAGGCAGGGACTCCTGGAAAAAAAGAAGGTTGTGTGGTTTCCAGTTGTCTGGGCAGATGTGACTCAGCAGAGCTGTCCACACAGAGTGGAGTGGCCCAAGGAGGGATGCTAAACACCTTAGCCCCGACCTTGAATTCTTCTAATCTAGACACTAATAATAATAATTAAATAGGAACTGTTCCCCCTAGAGTGTAACCATCCAACTAAGTACAGTTCCCCTGGGGCTCATGTCTCTCCTCACTATTACCCTGAAACCCACAGGGAAGTCCTTTAATGAACTTGGGATTGGGCCCACATGAAGCATAACTACTTAATGAGCAGGTCTGGAGGGAATACCTCCTTTTCTGCATGCCTGAGCAGGTCTGGAGGGAATACCTCCTTTTCTGCATGCCTGTGTCCTTGTGCCTCCTGAAGGTCATTGCAGGAGCTTGGAGTGCTCAAGACCCAGAGGGCAGGGGCCAGAGCCTAGGCTCCAGTTCATTAATCTGCAGCCCTGCCTTCTCCTGAGCCCCCCCCCCCATGGTGGGTGGACCTTGGATTTCTTTTGGGGAACAGAGCTGCCATGGTTCTGGATTCCCTTGTCCCAGCATGAGATCTACTAGGTCAGTTTCTGCCCAATCACAGGTGGACAGCCTGGATTTCTCTCCCATAGCCAATCCAAGTGCACACATACCCATTGTCCGTGCTGTGCATCTACAGACCCTGGGCAACCCTCCCGCCACACCTCGACCTCTGAAACAACCCAATCCTCACCGTGATCACCTTGCTCACTGTCACAGTGCCCTTGCCTCCCACAATCTCCATGATAATGTCTGCACATACCCTGCTTCCGCCACACTCTCTGAGACCACAACAGCTTCCATTTCAACCTCTGAGGTTGTCATATCTTCTGCCACAATGTCTGTGCCAATGAGGGTCTCCAGCATACTTCTTGAGGCCACCATAGGGTCCCCCACTTCTGAGACTGTCAATTCCTCTTCTGCAGGATCTGTGACCACCTTGGCTTCCAATTCAAGCTCTGAGACCACTTCCACTGGAGACCCTGGACATTGGCAGTGTCTTCCACAGAAACTAGAGAACCTGATATGCACCACTGCTTCTGTTTCCGGGATCCTGGCAGGGACCCCACACACAATCTCAACAGCTCCGAATACCTCTCGCCTGGGCATATCCTGTGACGGCATCATCAACTTCCTCATCCTTAGATCAGAAGGACCAGTGTCTTAGTTAGGGTTTCTGTTACTGTGAAGAGACACCGTGACTACAGCAACTCTTTTAAAGGAAAACATTTCATTTAATTGGGGCTGGCTTATAGTTTCAGAGGCTTAGTCCATTATCATCATGGTGGGACATGGGGGCACGCCGGCAGACATGGTGCTGGAGATGGAGCTGAGAATTCTACATCTTGATCTGCAGGCAACAGGAAGTGAACTGTGTCACTAGGCATAGCTTGAGAGTAGGAGACCTCAAAGCTTGCCTCCACAGTAACACACTTCCTCCAACAAGGCCATACCTACTCCAACAAAGTCACATCTCCTAATAGTGCCATTCCCTAAGAGCTTATGGGGGCCAATTTCATTCAAACTAGGACAACCAGACTGTCCATCCACTAACCAACCACCTCTCCCAAAGACAGGGCCATATAATAAGGACCAGTATCAACAAGCACCCGCCCCCCACCCCCCGAGACAAACAGGGTCAAAACAGCTGGATATTTTCACCTCTGTCCCTCATTTCTCTGGTTTTAGTTGCTATGGATGCTGTGGGACTGAGTTTCCACATGGTGAGCTTGTGTGGAAACAGAGGAACCTTCCTAGCGCTTCCAGATATTGAGAGCATGCCAGAGTTGTGGATGGAGAATGGCTTTGGTCCTAGCCCAAGTCACCGAAGAACTCAGGAACAAACCTGTGGCCTCCCAAGGTCAGGTCCTGCATCAACAGAAACCACACCAACAGGTCTAAGGGGCTTCTCACTGGGAAAAGGAAAAGTCCCACTCTTGTATCCAGATTGTGGGTTTTTGGTGACATTTAAATAGAATTCATTTTTTTCTTTAGAATTCATTTTTTAAAAAGCTTTTATTACGTTTGTTTATTGATTGCAGGAGGCATCCTACCTCACTGGCACGTGGAGGTCCGAGGAAAACTGGGAGAAGTAATTTCTCTCCTTCTACCACGTGAGTGCTGGGGACTGAGCTCAGGTCCTCAGGCTCGGCAGCAGGCTCGGCAGCAGGCATCTTTACCCACTGCGCCATCTTTCAGGCTTTAGAGTAAAGTTTAGATAAATTCAAAATGGAACGAGGCTGTGCTTTAGGAGTCAATGGCAGCTGTAGACTGTGAGACTCGGTTTCCTTCAAAATTGCACAATGTAGTGTAGACCTACCTTCCAATTCCTGCCTTGACCTCCCTCGGTGATGGACTGTCACCCAGAACCGTAAACGGGACAAACCGTTTCCTCCTCTAAGTTGCTCTTGGTCAGGGTGTTTTAGGGCAGCAACAGAAGGAAACTGCAGCACTCGGTAATGGACTGGAGTTCTCGCCAAAAGGGTCCAGAAGGAAAAGGAGACGGCTGCAAGTGTTCTTTGGAGAGCTGTTGACAGGAAAGTGAGCTGTGCTAAAATTAAAAAACAATGAGTCAACCACGGTGATGTGCACCCATGAAGCCAGCACTCAGTGGGCTGCAGCTAGCAGGACAAGAGTTTGCAGGGCAACCTGGGCTACGTGGTATGACCCTAGATAAACAAAAACCACCTGGGTTGACGTAGGAAAGGAAAGAACCAGGAAGTGAGAAGCAGCCATGGAATTTGAGCTTAAGGTATTTCAACCTTGGTGGTCTGTCCAGTAGTCCTCTTTTAAATCAAGAGCCCTCCCTGAGAATATAAAATAAAATGAAACTCATCCTTCCCAGAAGGAAACACAAGCAAAATCACCTGCCTCTAGGCACGGTACAGGGAAGGGTAAGGAATGTATACCTTGAGAAACAAACAGTAAACACAACAGTATTTAACATGACTTCCAGCTAGAGTCAACGTCACTGGAAAGACCTCAGTCCTGTGATACTTGAGGCTTCACCTGCTAGAGTTGAGAGATCTTATTTAAAATACTTGAATTTATTTACTTAGTGTTATTTATTTATTTATTTATTTGAAAAAGAGACTTACTGTGTAGCCCTGGCTATCCTGGAACTCACTATGTAGACTAGGCTGGCTCCGAACT